GTGGATCAGACACAGCAGTGTTGATCCACCACCCAAATAGTACCTGCTCTGTGGGGGTCTTGTGGGGGTCCTGACCATTGAAGAACAGGGTAACAAAGTATGCAGAGAAACAGATGGACTACAGTCTGTAACTGTAGAACTACAAAGTGCACCTATACAGTAAGTGGAGCTGATAAAATGGACAATGAGCGTAGAAACAAGGAGGTGGTCATAATGTTATGCCTGATCTATATATATATATATATATATATTTAGCGCCTTTCTGAGTTTCAATGTTTCAGTTATTGTCATTACGAACAGGTGCATATCTCCATAGACAAACACTGGCAGTACGACGGGTCATACCGAAAAGCTCAGGGACTTTAAACCTGGGAGCAACAACTCATCCATGAAATGGTAGCATGTTAAAATCTTCTGCTGTATCACTTACTACAAAGTTCCAAACAGCCCCTGGAAGCAACATCAGCACAAGAATTTTGAGTCAGAGGAGCTTCACGGAATGGGTTTCCATGGCCGAACAGCTGCACACAATCAAACAGATCACTATGCAAAATGCCAAGCGTCTGCAGGTGTGGTGCAAAGCACACCACCGGACACTGGAAAGAGACATTTTAGACAATCATATGCTTCCAAAGTTGTGGGAGCAGTTTGGGGAAGAGCCTTTCCTGTTCCAGTATGACTGAGCCCCTGTGCACAAAGCAGCTTCATAAAGACACGGTTTTACCAGTTTGGTGTGGAGGAACTCAACCCCACTGAACGCCTCTGGGACGAATTGGAACGGAGATTGTGAGCCAGCCCCTCTCGTCCAACATCAGTGTCTGACCTCACAAATGCTCTTTTGACTGAATGGGCACAAATTCCGACAGACACACTCCAGCATCTTGTGCAAAGTCTTCCAAGAAGAGTGGAGGCTGTTATAGCCGCCAAAAAGTGTGTGAGTGTGTGTGGGGGGCAACTCCGTATTATTATGTTTTGGAATAGGATGTCCAAAAGATCATATCGTCAGATGTCCAGTAACATTTGGCCATATAGTGTGGGTGTATATATATATATATATACACACACAACTTTGTTTTTGTGATTTCTTTGGTCTATTCATCATAAAATGTATACACAATGTAAAAGACAACAGCTATTGTCAAATTGTCCAAAACTGAAAAATAAACAAAGAGATATGAGGCAACGAGTCCAGTCAAGAAATTTCCTCACTACTAAATATTCCACAGTCAACTGTCAGTGGTGTTATAACAAAGTGGAAGCAATTGGGAACGACAGCAACTCAGCCACGAAGTGGTCGGCCACGTAAAATGACAGAGCGGGGTCAGCGGATGCTGAGGCGCATAGTGCACAGAGGTCACCAACTTTCTGCAGAGTCAATCGCTACAGACCTCCGACTTCATGTGGCCTTCAGATCAGCTCAAGAACAGCGTAGAGAGCTTCATGGAATGGGTTTCCATGGCCGAGCAGCTGCATCCAAGCCTTACATCACCAAGCGCAATGCAAAGCGTTGAATGCAGTGGTGTAAAGCGCCACCACTGGACTGAGCAGTGGAGACATGTCCTCTGGAGTGACCAATCACGCTTCTCCGTCTGGCAATCCAATGGACGAGTCCGGGTTTGGCGGTTGCCAGGAGAACGGTACTTGTCTGACTGCATTGTGCCAAGTGTAAAGTTTGGTGGAGGGGGGATTATGGTGTGGGGCTGTTTTTCAGGAGTTGGGCTCGGCCCCTTAGTTCCAGTGAAAGGAACTCTTAATGCTTCAGCAGACCAAGAGATTTTGGACAATTTCCTGCTCCCCACTTTGTGGGAACAGTTTGGGGACGGCCCCTTCCTGTTCTAACATGACTGCACACCAGTGCACAAAGCAAGGTCCATAAAGACATGGATGAGCGAGTTTGGTGTGGAACAACTTGACTGGCCTGCAGAGTCCTGACCTCAACCCAATAGAACACATTTGGGATGAATTAGAGCGGAGACTGTGAGTCAGGTCTTTCCGTCCAACATCAGTGCAGTCCATACACAAATGCACTTCTGGAAGAATGGTCAAAAATTCCCATAAACACTCCTAAACCTTGTGGAAAGCCTTCCCAGAAGAGTTGAAGCTGTTATAGCTGCAAAGGGTGGGCCGACATCATTTTAAACCCTATGGGATGTCACTCAAGTTCATATGCGTGTGAAGGCAGACGAGCGAACACTTTTGGCAATATAGTGTACATATATATATATACATATATATACATATATATATACACACACACACACACATATACACCAGTTAAAATTTAAGCTAAAATATATGTGTATGTATGTATGGTATGTGTATATATCCATATTTATCTATGTATCTATATTTATGTATATCGCTGCTGTCAGAACAAAACCTCGAATCTCTATTTTGTCATTTTTCAGTTTCTGGCATACTTTGAATACGCCTGTTGCCCTGGACATTGTGTGTAAATGTCTTGATGAATAGACCAAAGGAAATGGCCCAGAATGACTTTTCAGTTTCGTGATACTGACAAATAACAAGGATTTTATCAATGATAATATGTGTTCTATAACAGTGGTATACGTACTGCATCTCTAGCAGAAATGCACAATGTAAAGTCCCCTTTAAGAGAATCCAGAAGAAAACAGTCCATCCAGAGCAAGCTGTGTCAGGTTTGTGATACGTTCTTTTAGAGTAACAGTACTCAAAACATGGAGTAATTAACTTTATTATTGTCAACCTGAAATCAAAAAAGACCTTTTCAACCTTATTAGTTGACGTTCTTGGTCACGTTAAGTATGATTCATCATGTCATTTTAAAGACAAAATTCCTGTTTTCCTATAACCTTTAATCAAAGTGTAGTGACTTTCACCTGCCTGGAAATCATCATACACCAGCAGGAGGGAAAAACAGTTTTAACCAAAATCATTTTACACCTCCACCTTCCTCGACCGCCACCTATTACTGAGCTAAAGTAAGAGCCTCCTTTATACTGCAATTCACCACACAGAAGAAAAACATTTCTGATTCACGTTGACTTTAGCGTAAACTTAAATATAAGGTGATTCAAAAAGATTCATCCGATTTCAAAGCGCCATATTTTTACAGCCGTGAGGCGCCTAGGAACCAATCACAATCCAATTGAAAGAGGGGGTCATAGAGTTTCTGTCAGTGAACCTCCAGCAGCTCAGAGCGTTCGTCGTTGGTACCAACAGCTCCAAAAAAAAAGGTCACCAGCATCACCAGATCTCACGCCGTGTGACATTTTTTTGTGGGGGGACGTTAGGGATTCTGTTTATGTGCCACTCCAACAACACTGGATGATCTCCGAAATCGCACTGAAAGAGCCGCGAGTGCAGCGACACTCGACATGCTCAGTCAAGTATGGGATGAGTTTGACTATGGCGTTGATGTTGTCTGTACAGCTGAAGGAGGTTCATACTGAGACCTTGTACAATTACATAAACTTTATGCTCATTTAAACCATTTACAGTTTACTGCATTGATCTGTGATGATTTACAAGTGAAATCAATCATTTTGAAATTGGATGAATCTTTTTGAATCACCCTGTATTATCCGATACTGGGATACCATGCATGTTTTTAGGGAGCAGAAAACACTGCAGCCGTCTGAATCTGGGCCTTGGCACGTTCCATCGCTTCGATCCGAGACCCCTCAACAAGTGGCTGTGCAAGTTGAGTTAAAAGACTAGTTGGGATACAGTGCATGACTTGGAATATGAAATTATCATTGTGCGTCCTTGTGGGCTTCCTGATTAGATCACGGAGAACCATGATGACGAAAGAGCACTGTGGATGACTCATCCTCTCACAAATGCTCTGGCAGGGTAATTGTGCTTGTACAACAAAGGCACAGCCCTCCAACTCTATCTAATGATATTCCAATAAAAAAGGACTTTGGTAAACAACCTCAAACCTTTTAAGATGATTGAATATCACCGATGCCCCCCCCCCGCCTCCACCAGCATTATCAATGTAGTCGCCGAAAGTATTATATAAGGGGAGCAATTGGGGCCTTCTGAATTGACTTGGTTTAGTGCTGCAGTATTTAGAAAAGAGAAACAACACTGTTATCCCTCTCTGACTTTTTTGGGGGGGGTAAAGCTTCAGAACATCTCAATGTGACTTTATGGTGAAGTACATAATGCAAGTCTTAATGATAAAGTAGGAAAAGACGTTTAACCGCAGGTTGTACAGCTTTGCTAATGACACTGTCTTTTCATAGCCTGGTAATGAAAAATGCATGAGCTCATAGAAATGAAAGGAGAAAAGTGACTCTCTCACATCATTGTATATAAAGCAAGTCCAAAAGAGAACCAATGCTGTACAAATGAACATTTAAAAGTCGCTTGGACCACCTGACAGGTGTCAATGCTAAACACAAACATATCACTGTTGTCAGAAGAAAACCTAGTATCTCCAAAAGGGTAACTTTACAGGAGAAGCAAAAACCCTACTTTACTTTTAATGTAAGTCAATGGAACCAGACTTTTTTCCAAGTCATTTTGGGCCGTTTCTTTTGGTCCATCCATCATAAATCTTTCATACAATGTAAGGGGTAACAGGTAATTTCAAACTATGTCAAAAACTGAAAAACCGACAACAGCAACACATTTCCATATGCTGTAGGTCAATCATATGACTGAGCATCTCAACACGCACAATGAAGAGCCAGAATCCACACAGTAATGCTCAGTACTGAAAACTTTAATCTCGACAAAAATGAAGTATCGACAGTCTCAACAAAAATGAAGTATTAATCCTTTTTTTCCAGGTTTTCTTTGAAAACAATTCTTAAGGCCCAAAACGAAACAGGCAACTGTCTTTAAAGAAGCACACGAGACAGTTTTGATGCTAAAAGTGGAAGTTGAATTTGGGTTTTCCCAGACAATTTTATCTGGCTTCCACCTTCAGGAATTTCCCTGTATTTTTCCTAACCATCTCAGTGGTAGCGCTCCAGACCAGTTACTATTAGGGGGTTTATAAAGAAACCTCACTCAAAAGTAAACCATAGTTCTGCCTCCCTCTTGTGGCGCATATATGAACTGCATGTTGAGTATTTTCACCCATCTCCTCAAATACATCAGATTTTGCCACCTCCTGTTCAATCAGGGGAATAAATAAATGTCTCTTTTATATAAGTTCACAACACCACCCAAATTCACAAGTGAAAAGAATATGAAATCATGTCCTGACACCTGAGCAGGGCCTCCTTCTGCACACCAAGAGGCGTCTGTAGATCAGAAACTTGAAAGTTCAGAACGTCTATGTCCGAAGCTCCGAACTTCGCTTGAACTTGAACCTTCTCGTACAGGTTGAACTGAACCTGCTTGTCCGTCATTGCTATAAGACTGCGTAGAAAACGCTCTCTAAGCTCTGAACGCAACTGTTGTTCCTCTTCGAGGTTTACAAAATCTGCTTCATTCCCTTTTGAAGCTGGAATTGTTGTAGGACACAGCGCGATGTAACGAGGGGAGTTTGGGTCAAATCCACGGCTGTTGGGCTCAGGTCCTCTGGGCAAGCGCAGAACACTCACTGGCGTTTTCATGTTATTCTCACAGCTTCGCTTCTGCAACTACATATGATTGTCAGAGTCAATAGCAGTGGGTCTTCAGTTAACAGTGACAGAGTAAAATCAATGGTCATTAATGCAGCAAAACAAGTACCACACGGTTTCAACTTTGATGGAACACAGTGTTTTTATCCTTTATCAGATACTAATTTATTTTATTTTTTCCAAAACAAAAATCTAGATCCTAATCATTTATCTGTCTCCCATTTTTGACTTTATATTTTACAAATTTTAAGTGGCGATGCACACATCAGCGCTCCGAAAGCATTTTAAAACAGACGTACCATCGTCCACTGCAGTAATTTTTATTGTCCTATATAATAAAGGTATTGTAACCTATACTAGAATCACTGCCTCGGCGAATTCGCCTCTAAAGCTCCTTTCCTAACACCATAAGACACAGAACAGCACACAGCTCAGTTCTAATTCTCAAACTTGGAGCAATAACACATTTGCTACAACCAAGCTGACGACGTAACATTACAGTATTACCTTAACATGACTTTCACTTCTCTCTCATTTCACTGTTAAATGGCTGGAATTCTGTATGAGAGTCTATGTAGTGACATTCCATATAAATAAAATGATGTGGGAACAAGATAATTAAGTCGTAGCCACGACTTAATAAGGTGTAGGAACAAAATAACCATGACTTAAGGTGTGGGAATGAGATAATTAGGCCTTGAACACAGATAAATAAGGCATGATCTTGTTCCCACTAAGTCATGGTCACGCATTAGGATCTTGTTCCCATGTGTTAATCCAGCGTGGCCATGCATTATTTTATTTATATGGGATGTTACCCCTCCATAGGAGTCTCTTCCTCATATCTGTAAATGTTTTTTTTGCTGACAAAACAAAGCTACACCAAATACACAAACACCTATAAAAACGTCATATTGCCCCCCATCTTTCCTGCTATTATATATATTTTAACTGTGATTGACTGATTTTCCACATGTGCACCCTACACGTTTATTTCCAGCTTAAATAACAGAAACGTCTCAATTTGGATAAGTAAAATCCGACCCTTTATTCCACTGTTGTTAGTTTTTTATTTGGATTTATGACTAGTTAGTAAAACTGTTAAACAAAACTAATTCTTGACTTTTCCACAGAAAACCAAGAGTCGACCCATTTTCTGGTTCTTCACTACTGGTTTTGAAATGAAAATCGAATAACCAAAACATACACGGACCCCGTGGTCCTGCTTCAACCCCTCTGGATGAACGTATGCGCCAAACACAGGTCCTCTAATAAAACGAACCCCACCAGGTCTTTCTGAGGGGCTCATGGCTGAAGGGAGTAAAGGGGGTCTCCTCTACAGAAACTCTTCAGAGAGGGGGTCAGCTCGCTATTAACCAGTTTATTATGCTGCTGTAAACGGACGATAGTTTAGAAACTCGTTTACACGACTTGTATGTTCATACGGAGGTCCTAAGGGGTCGTGGTAAAAAAAAGAAAAAAAAAAAGGTTAATGACATAGCGTTCCCTAGCAAAAAATATGCATTCCCTATAATATAATAATTCCCCAAAATATAATAATCAGACAGCGAGCAAACGTAGGACCAGAGGTGCCCAACGACATTGCCTACATCAGAGCTCTGTGTTTAGTATATTTAACGTTAAAAGCTGGTTTCCCAGTTTCTCCAGTCTGTGCTGAGTTTATTCAGCTGTTGTTCTCTGCAGTGTCTGTAAATGTAGCTTTTACTGTACGAGGACCCTCGACCTCAGTCTCTGTTTGAGTCACTAATAACAGAATCCTGTTTGATTCTGTGAAGCTACACTGTGTTTTTATATTTCAATCCAAGATCAACGTAAAATTCAACGAGCTGCTTCATGTCTGAGCTTAAGCAAAGCACAGCTTTTGCAAGCGAATGCAAAACATTTGCATCATAATGCAGAATATTTGCGAGGGAACGCAAAACATGAACTTTTCATTTTCGTTCATACGGAGCCCCTAAGGGGCCGTGGTAAAAAAAAAATAAAGGTAATGACACTGCGTTCCGTCGCAAATAAAATTCGTTCCCTTGCAAATGTTTTGCATTATGATGCAGCGGTTTGCATTCGCTTGCAAAAGCTGTGCTTTGCTTAAGCTCAGACATGAAGCAGCTCGTTGAATTTTACGTTGATCTTGGATTGAAATATAAAAACACAGTGTAGCTTCACAGAATCAAACAGGATTCTGTTATTAGTGACTCAAACAGAGACTGAGGTCGAGGGTCCTCGTACAGTAAAAGCTACAGAGAACAGCTGAATAAACTCAGCACAGACTGGCCAAACTGGGAAACCAGCTTTTAACGTTAAATATACTAAAAACAAAGCTCTGATGTAGGCAGTGTCGTTGGGCACCTCTGGTCCTACGTTTGCTTGCTGTCTGACGAGCATATATTTTGCGAGGGAACGCATTTTATTTGCGAGGGAACGCGATGTCATTAACTTTTCTTTTTTATCCACGGCCCCTTAGGGGCTCCGTAGCTCCGTCCGTTCATGTGGTTTGTAGTCGACGTAAATAAAACAAGGACAGTAACACTGCTGCTGTATTTTAATGGGCTCTCTAATAATAATGAGCACATACGACTAAAACGAGTAATAAACATCTCAAAAAACCGGCTCAGAAAATTCAAAGAGGAGAATCGACTGTAAACACATTAGCTTAGCTAACCAGCTAACCAGCCAACATGAACCTGCCTTTGCAGTTCTTTACGTGACGTATAGCCCGTATATACACAAACACACACATATAACATAAGCATTAAGCACTATTACTTCAGAAAGAGTGAATAAATATGAAGTTATGCGAATTGAAGCCCGTCTAGTTCAGTTTATACCGCTTACTTTATAAACAGCAGTTCGCGTTTCCCGCATCGGTGAGTGGAGAAAAGAAACAGGATATGACATCAGCCTTTGATGATAAAAGTCCTTATGGTCCGCCTTTTCTTTTAAACTCTGATATAATTATGATACGTTGAAGCTCTCGCTTTCTTTTTCACCAACAAATGTCAATGAGCTAATCACTACTATATTAACATGACTCTTCATATAAGTACTTTACTTAAACAAATTACATTACATTACATTTAAAAACTTAAAAAAATCTTTATTTAGCAAGAGATGGTTTGATCATGGGATTCTACTAGTTAGTAAACTGCCTAGCTAATACCAGAGAACTTGTAAAGAGGAGATTTATTGCTCTGCAATGTCTTCCAGGTTTCTCAAATGCTAGAGGGCGCTCCCGAGCGAGCCCAAAATGAATGGGTTGATAGGGAGCATTTGAGCAAAATCATAGTTTATAAATGCTGAAACATTTTCAATTTAGAATACATTCACATAACAGTATAAAACATTTTAACACTGCTGTTATATTTTAGGAGCTTTTAAATTTGAGTTATAGGAGTTTAAAATGGCGCCTCATGTACGTTCATAACGTCAGTGAGCGCGAACAGCCAATGAGCTGCTCCGCTTGCCAACCAATCAGCACTCAGCAGCAGTGATGCCAGCATCCTGCTGCCCAAAACCCGTTTGCTGTAGAATAAAGGAAACATACAGATGAGTTTTTTTTAGTGAAATCCATCCTTCTACTTGCTAAAATTAAAGGAAAGTTCTGGTTCAGTGATTAGAAACTATTTTAACTTTAACTTTTCGTTTTTAGCCATTGAGCTCCATTCACTCCCATTCATTGAGGACTCACTCGCGGGTGCCCTCTGCTGTTCAGCAGTCCTGTTTTTGATACAACAGGGGAAATAGGAAGTGGCCAGACTCCTCATAAACCGGCTCTGCTCATACTGCGGCTTGCTTTCTTTGATATGACTTTATAATACATATAAATTCTGTCACTCCAATAAATTATTCTTATATATATGATGTGATAACAAAAGGCACTGGACGCCTCCTATTATCTGCTCCTAATAGGAGTGAGGTCTGGGTAAGGGCTGTAATACCTTTCAGTCTGAATTAATGTTGATTGACCTTTAGTATGTGGAAACACTACTAAAAAATGTATAGCAGAAATACAGAAATCTCAGAATTGTCCTAGTGAACTGAAACCTTCCCACAATGTACCGTAAAAAACACTGACTGTTCACTATGATACAGAGTCACGTCTCCAGCTCGGCTATCAGAAGGTTTTGAAATGGAAGGTGAAAGCTGTATGTTATCTCCTGCCCCTTCACCTGGAAAAAAAGCCAACCAAAAAAGGCTTTTGTTCTAGCGAGAGTTTATCATTCATTATCAGTTTCTTACCAATGTAAATGTCCTGTTACTTAGCTAACCAGATGCAATTGTTCCTGAATTAACTTTACTTACAGGCTTTCGTGTTAATGTTCTCCACCACCTACACCATAACCATATGCTGTACTTCACAATGTTGCACTTTATTTATTCATTTTATGAACAAACCATGACATTAAAATAGGCTGACCTGCTAAGAGGCTATAGCTAATGTGTTAATTAGGCCCATTTGGAAATATTTTGTTACTGATTTTATGGAAAGGATGTTATATTCAGATGTTAGCTGGCGCTTGGCTTGGTGCTTGTGATGCTAATGGAATTAGCATTTATGCTAGTGGTGTTAATCGGCTGAAGAAACACTCAGTTTTATTGTTGTGACTGACAAGTGGCTGTATTTGGGTCTCAGGGTGAACAAAATGAGGGTGTTTGTGAAATGACTGGAATATTCATTCTAAAAATGACAGTACGGCTAAACACAGCATAGCAGATGAGCTCATTTTATAGTATTCAATGAAAAGCAACCTGGCTACTTTCAAAGTATTCCTCATCAGGCAGCGTATTCATAACTATTTCATGTGATAACTGTAATACATTTCTTTTTCAACACTTTAAAAAATATTTTGACCTAAAATATAAAAAAAATACATTGATGGTGGAAAAAATATACAGGGCATAAGGCAAAATAATTCACAAAGAAATGTAATTTGTTTAGATTTACACCTGTTTTACCATGATTTACATATAAAATCTCAGATGACAAATAGGTTCACTGGTGGTTTTTGAAAGTAAATAAAATTGCTATATTTGTGTTTGCAAAATTAGTCTGGGTTTGTTCAGTTTACAGCTGGGTGCTTGGCCCAGATCTGGCCCACACACCGTAAAGTGAGTAGAAATCACAAATGCGTCCCAAATCTGGCCCAACTACATTGTTGGTCCACAACACTTAAGCCGTCCTGCGTCTGGCCTGCATGCCTGACATCTGTCTTGTCGTCAACAAACACTCTCATATGAAAGCCAAAATCGGCCAAGAACTGTCCGCTTCCTGAGCAACACTGTGACCCCTGGTTCCTATCATGACCACAAATCACGGAATTGGTGAGGAACCAAACCCTCAGGACCAGAGTTTCCCACCCCTGCTTTAAGGCCTACAAGAAAAAAAGAAATGCATTCAATAAGCTGATTATTTATTATTTAGTTATTTTAGATATTGACCAAATACTGAAGTATAATAACATATACGCTCAGACTTTCAGCTTTAATTTGAGGGTGCACAAACATGCAGTAATAATATTTATAATATATATATATATATAAATATATATAAATCAAAACGTAGTAATAATAGAACAGTATATAAGAATAAAAAAGCTATTGAATTTTTAGTGATGAAAAATAAAAGTTGATACAACAATTCCATGATGCAAGTGATTTTACAAATGTAGGCTCTACACTAAAGACAACATTTTTGTATAATAAAATAATTTAAATTAATAAATTAATAAAAAAATAAACATGGCATTTTTTTTTCAAATTCTACTTAATGTAAATATGTTTTAAAATTGCCACAGTTAAGAAGCTATTGGCTTTGGCTGAATGGCAATTTAAGTAAAATTTCACCCAAAACATGTTTCATGTTTTACTGATCGTGGTGTGTTATAATAACAGAAAGGACTACACAGCTCTTCAGTTTGTATTGGTAAGATTTACAGTGAAATAGCTATGGAATATTGGTAAAAATGAATTAAATATGGGGAAAACACTTTAGAACCAAGTAGTGCTGTAGTATGTTGAACTAGAAAGAAGTCCTATATAACATTTGGTTTCACATTAGTAAGCCAAACAGTAAATAAGTTATAGATTTTTTTTGGATAAAAATGAATTTTAAATTCAACACACAATCTCATACGCTAAAGGCTGTAGTCATTTAAAAAATGAAAATCTGTATTACAATTAATTTTAAAATTACAGACTTAATAAAAAAAGAATATATTGAATTTTTGTGGGTGGAATGTTGATTAAAGCTAAACATAGCACTTTTTAAAAATCTTGGATTTAGCAATAATAGGACAGTCTTCAATGCATTTAGTTTCATAATTTTAGGCCCTACAGTACAGAAACTATTGAAGTATTTGTGTTTTGTGAATTAATTAAAATGAAACAATGCTTTATTAAAATTCTGTTTACTGTAGTTTATAGCAAAAATAGGATAGTCTTAAATGCGTCGGGTTTCATAATTTAACTTTAAAATAAATACATAAGCTATTTAAATTGTAGTTGCAAAATTAATTAAAATTGTAGTTAAAGAATGAATTCAAATTAAACAAAATGCCTTATTCAAATTCTGCTTGGTGTTGTTTGATGTAATAACACAACAGTGTTTGTGTCTGGAAAATTAATTCAAATGAAACACAATGCTTCATTCAAATTCTGCTTGCTGTAGTATGTTACAAAAATAGCATAGATTTTATTGTATTTGATTTCATCATTTTTTGCCCTACAGTATAGAAGCTATTGAATTATTTGTGTGTATTTTTAAATGCTTTATTTGAATTTCTGCTTGCTGTAGTATACTGGAAAGATTGTAAAGCATTTGGTTTCATAATACATAAGTAATTGAAGTTGTGTTTAGAAAATTAAAATTATGTTGCAAAAATTAGATTTTTTTGTGCATTTGGTTTCATAAATTCAGGCCCTACAGAACAGAGGGTGTTTAATTTTTAGTGGTTGGAAAAATAATTAAAATGAAACACAAAGCTTTATTCAAAATTCTGTCTGGAGAATTACGTAAAAATAAACAAAATGCTTTATTTAAATTTTGCTTGGTGTAGTATGTTTCAGTAATAGAACAGTCGTTAATGCATTTGTTTTCATCATTTTAGGCCCTCTGGTCTGACAGCACGCATAAGACCAACAGCATATTAGGCAGGTGGTCATAATATTTTGGCTCACTGAAACATACTCAAGTGTACAACAATGTCAATACTGTTTGACTTTCACTCAAGTATATCTTTGGCTCCATACTTTCACTTTTAACTCAGTAAGATTTAGACACAGTTCCCAGACCTTAACTTCAGTACAGCTTTTCTCAACTGTTCTCTGGTGTCTTTTTCAGCTTTATTGTGCACTCAAACTAGCTCTGAAGAGATTCCCTCATTTACCCTTCTAACACCCTGAAGACACTCTCGGGAAGGCCTTGCTTTGTAGCTGATAAGATTAATGAGATGATTTTAACAAAAGGTGGAAAGCTAAAAGCGCTGCATTTTTCAGCAATCACGTCACTAAAGACTGTCCCAGTTTTTTTTCAGTTGTGGACAAGAAATGCATTTTTCTTCCATTTGAATGACTCAGCTGGAGAAGCTTTCCAGACCTACAATCACCCAAAACTTTCACACGCAGCACAAATTGAGAAACCAGAAAAACAGCACAAATAGCTGCGAGTGGGCGAGTGGTGTTACGAAATATACATTTTAATGTAACACTGTTAACTGTAATCATCAATGTGCCCTAAAGACATCTCAAATGACTGTGACTAAGCACTGAAGAGGAGCCTTCGTATAGTAATGTTAGCAACATGTCTCCCACCCAGCTTCACTTTGGGACTGCAGAGCTGTTTTAGCACTTAGGAAAGAACCCACCCTGAAACAGCACCCAAACA